CAAGTGCTCCTTTATTATTCCCATTTCAGAACTTGAGACAAATGCTTCCTTTACAATTGATATCTTAAACTGTACACTAGTTAAATTCTAGAAGTGTTCATTTAGATTTATAGATATTATAGGAGGGGTTGTTTTTGTTTGTGGTTTGTACAATACTTACATGAGATGAAAATAATTTGGAGTTGGAGGCATATGGCTCTCTAAAAACTCTGATAATGAGATTTAATTCCCTTATATACTGTCGAACCTCTGCCATAAATGACTTCACAAGGTCATAATAGGTTTGCTCCCCTGAGGTGGAGGGTTCCTCATCAGATAAAGTTAGTGCACTTAAATCTTCTACATCTTGGTGGAACATATCCATTAATACCTAGGTGGCAAACAGGGGGAAATCCACAAAGTGAGAACAACAACTTTTAAAAATAAACTCATAAGTTATCAGTAAAGGAAATCTATTATTCCCATGAAATCAGACTAATTAGCAGTAAGATTTATATATTATCACTCTGCAATTGGTTGAACATTACAAAAGCAACATTCATTGCTACAAATCTGCAAGTCATTATTTGCAGTGGCAATTTCTGAAGAAATCCCAGTCATTTAGTCCAATCCAGGCACCTCTCCAAGAATGCAGTCCTAAAATCAATTACAATTTTAAGAAGTCTATGAAGTATACAGACACATTTAGCATGTAGTTGTATTCTCCTAGTCTGAATTACCTGTACATCATCTAAATTTCTGAAGATGCTATATAATCTGAAGTCAGAAAGTGTGCATTTTGGCTTTTCAGCTTTAGCTTTAACAGGAAGTTGCATATGATTGTGCTCAGAACCCTGTAATCTATCTGTGATTCAAGGAGGCCCCAACATCTGTAACTTTACTCTGTGGATGCTGTTCTAGCACATACTTGAGCTGTATTAACAAGGCACATACCTCACTACTATGAAATCCACAGAACCACAGGCTGGTTTGGGTTGGAAGGGACCTTAAAGCTCATCCAGTTCCAACCCCCCTGCCAGCAGCAGGGACACCTTCCACTAGACCAGGTTGCTCAAAGCCTCATCAAAAAAATAAAACCAAGCAGAACACATATTATGGATATGAACATATACTATGAAATTTCTTGATACAACTGGAAAGAAAACACCTTGGGAAAATGGCTTGTTCTGCTGAGGCAGTAAACCAACAGGCCTGCTCTAGAGCCTTTCTAAAGTTTCTTCTGTGTACATATCAAAGTGTTCCTCCAATGTAATGTAATGGAAGCTCCTAAATCAACTTCATCTCTCTTCTGCTCACCACTTCTCCTAGGACAGATAGAAGCATGCAGCAACAGCACTTGCTCCTGTTATTATTCTATGACAAACATACACTTTCAAACCCAGCCCTAATGACCCAGGCAGACAGGTCCAAAAGCAAGAGTGACCAAGACTACTGTCCTGACTGGGAAGTACTTGACTCTTCAAGACCTCACAAGATATCTTGAGAGAGAGTATAGAAAGGTT